ACGCCCGACTTTCTGCTCGCAAAGATGGGTGATGACCCGGCACGTCCATTGTTTCTTGCACCTATGTCGCGCTCCGAGGGAGTCGTGTTACTCCGGCGACTTTTCTATGAGTGCTATCAACACACACCCGCATCCTGCCGACCGGAGCCGGATCTTCTTGGTGTCCATTCCCTGAAGGTCACCCTTCTCAGCTATGGGCGCCAACTTCTCATTCGTGAGGATCTACAGCGTCAGCAGGGTCATCACCGAGCTTCCATTGCCGGCATGTCCGATCTCTATGGTCGTGACGACGTGGCTGGCCCCTTGGAGTTTCAACGCCAGGTGGTTGGGGCTGTTCTTGAGGGCTTTCGCCCACGCCGCCCCCGCTTGAGGGGCGGGCTTCCGCCTACTGCTGACATTGACATCCAGCTGCCTACGGTGCCAGGTACATCAGACATGCCCTCAATTGAGTCCAACCCTCTTCCTCTACCCGAGCAGGACACTTCAAGCGGCTCCGATGACGAGGTTGCCGCCCCCGCGTCGCCAATTCCACTGCCTCCACCTACTCAGGAGCTGCCAGAGGCTGTTGCGGAGGCTCTCTCGATGACGTTGGAGCCTTTGCCACCTGATGCTTCTTCTTCATCTGGTGTGGCTGAGGATTGGACTGAGGTTCATGGTCCAGCGGACGAATACTTCTTCCTGCTGAATGGTGTCTCTCGCATTGCACACAAAGCGCAGCCTTGCTGCTCTTCTCACCCTGCATTCCAGGTGAAAGTTGCCCACCTGCAGAGATCCTTCCGAGCAGGGTGTAGCGTTCGCGGTGTGGAGTCACTCCAATTTTCGGAGTTTGTGCCTGAAGGCTTTCGTCTGTGCTTAAAGCGCGGCTGTGTCCTAGACTAACCTCCGGCCAATCCAGCAAAGCAGTCGCATCGCGCTCGTGTCTGCGCTCGCTGTGCTTGCTTCCACAGTGCCTTCCGGCCTCCATACAGATCATGTTTGCATTGAGGTTGGGGTTTTGGCTCGAACCTCACTTTTTTGGCCGGTCTCTGCGGTCATGGCTACATCCTCCAGTTACGACAGTGACTCCGCGAGTACCTCGTTCTCGTCTAACTTTCATCATCCACTGGAGAACCTACCTGCCACTCCGCGACGACCCGAACTTCGCATATGCCCCAGAGATTTTCATGAACCAGAGCTGCTGACATTCCTTGGCAGTAGCTCATCCATGGAACGGGAGATCCTCCTGCGTGCTGAGATCACCCTCTGGGAATCTGCTTGGGGTAGCGTTGACTTCAATCATCG